GGGTGCGTGGCACGGCCCCTGCCTGACTGCCCTGGGCTCCTGAGCGGCGGGGTTTCCGGAGCCTGCGGTTGTGTTGGTGAGGTAACTGCAGCCTCCAGTCTGCCCTGAATGCCGGCAGTCAGGACTTCTGGGTGCAGGTGCTCGCCTCCACTGGGTCTAGTGTTTGCTTGGTTTCAATGCCTTCTAAAGACTGCACAATAATTTCTGAGTCTTATTTCTTAATAATCTTTAAAAGTACTCGGTTTTTAAATCATATTACGATATTTTAATTGGATTATACTTTATAACATCATATGACAAAAATGAATGCAAACAACTTCAAATGTGGAAAACCTATTTTATTCATGCATATTCCCAGTTCAGAGCTCGTGTACAGATTTTGCACCCTTTTATATATAATAATGAATGTTTCCAGGAAACGTAAAAAATATTTTAGGGATAATTTGATCATCTTAAATTTTAAAAAGATAGGTATTTTTTTCATTGTAGCACATCAGATGCTGATTCTTTTTTATTCATAATCAATTATAATTAAGAATTAAATAAGAGGTAAACAAAATAAATGGAAAGACACTGAAAGTTTCCAACTTTCTCCAAAAAAGAGACTTTCTTACAGACAGACTGAAACCCCAAGTTTCTCATTGTTTTTGGTTCAATTGTACTTTGTATAAAGTCCTGGGACTATTTTTTTATCCTATTTATGTAAGATCAGTAAGATCAACTGCCTATTTTTCCGAGACTGAATTTAGGTGTGCACCTTGATGACCATTTTGCAAATAAGTGTCTAAATTCTAATAAGGTGGACACATTATTGTTTTGATTTAGTCATTTGCTTTAACCATTCCACCAAGGCTTTGTGCAAAAAAAGACCCATATCCTTGAGAAGCAGTGAAAAGTTCTTTGAATATTGGACAGAAATCTTCTAGAACCTCACTAGAAACCCTCTCATACAGTTCCCATTGCCCTAGGCCCCATAAGTAAGATCTGTAAGAGAAAGAATAGAACAAAGACATAGGGAGAGCATGGAAGTCATGTGAGTTCTACCAGATTAACCATCTGGGGAAGCCAGGACTGCATTTGGAGCCCCAGCAGTAGGCCATTTCCAACTGATAAAAGAAAGTGAGACAATAAACAACTTTCACATAGTGACAGAAAAACAGAATTGTCTTTTATTACATGACATGCTAAGTGTGATTGCTTACTTCTCTGGAATGCCCTTAGCCCTATTTTTGTAACTTTTTTGTGATGTTTATCTTACTATATACTAATGAGCATTACTGTTTCCAATTTCTGATCCTCTCTGCATCCTGACACATGGGAATATAGCTCTTCCCTGCCCTCTGAAAGTTAGTCATTGTCATAAAAGACTTGTTTTGGCAGTGAAATGTGAGAAGTGACCTGGGTCACAGCTTGAGTAGAAGCATTTAATTACCATTAGGCATTGCTCCAGTCCACTCTTGCTCTTCAGCCCTACTCTTCCCCACCAGTGGCCATCATGGAAACATGTCCATAAGGAGGTTCCTCGTGATCAGAACATCCCAGAATGGTGAGCCAACACAGAGGACAGCTGTCCTAGAGAATCTCAGGGGCACACAGCACATTTCTTATGAATGAAAATTAAACTTTGTTGTGTTAAGCCACTGAGATTGTAGAGTAGTTTGCTACTGTATTGTTAATCTGTCGTATACTGTCCAATAGAATTATTATACTATATCTTATATAACTTGTTTTATTATCATTTATACATTTGACTTACTACATGCATGAACTAAGTGGTAAGTTACTAGTTGTTTCTTGTTTTGTTTTGTTTTTGCTGTCATTAATATACACTTACATGAGCAACATTGTGGTTACTAGATTTCCCCCATTATCAAGTCTCCACCACATATCCCCATTACAGTCATGGTCCATCAGCAAGCTACTAGTTTTTAAACAAGCTACTAGTCACTGTATCACCTGCAGAATTTTACAGAAGTGCATGCACGTTAAAAGAGTGCTCATTACAAACGTAAGGAACAAAATAGACTCAGAGACTCCAAGAATGAACTAGAGGTTACCAAAGGGTAGGGTGGGTGGGGAGGGAGGGAGAAGGGGATTGAGGGGTATTATGCTTAGTACACATGGTGTGGGGGATCATGGGGAGAACAGTGTAGCACAGAGAAGGCACACAGTGGATCTGTGGCATTTTACTACACTGATGGACAGTGACTGCATTGGGGTATGGGTGGGGACTTGATATTATGGGTAAATGTAGTAACCACATTGTTTTTTCATGTGAAACCTTCATAAGAGTATGTATCAATCATAACTTAATAAAAAAAATTTTTTTAAAGTGCTTATTACATATGTAATCACTTGAATTTACAAAAAGATGACAAGATTCAACTGTAAAATGTTTGTTAGGTATTACACAGAATAGGCAACCCTATAATGTTTACTAAATGGTAGGGCAATAAATCAGCCTCTAACCCCCAATCCTTCCACTCTCAACCCCTCCCCCCAAAAAACAGGACCAAATAATGTACCAATGGAAAGCATTTCCAATAAATAGTCTGCAAAATGTATCTTCTGAATACTCTTAATAGTCACCTCTAGTTAGGATATCCAAAAGTGAACACTTACATTTTTAAAAATAGTGTTCCTCCAGTATTTCAATCTGAATTAATGTTGTTAGCACTAATTAGAAATTGTTAAGATCCAGTCAAATCCGAGTTAAACAATTTATACCACATGAGCAATATAAGGGCAATATAAGCTACTATGGTGGTATCAAGCCTGCGAAAGTTTGTTGCAATCTCTTAGCTTGTTTCCTTGCTTCCTGGCACAAGTGTGTTCTCTCTGTCTCTGCCTCTCTCTTGTATTCTGTGCCCCCTCCAACATCTAGTGTACTTCCCTACTGAGAAATCTGTGAAGGCACATTTTCTAAAGTTCAAAACAGAGGTCTTTCTAGTCTTATATTTACTACTCATTTCTCCCTACCCCCACATTCAGACAATCTCTTCATTCCCAAATGTATCATATGCTTCTGAATGTTTGGGGCTCGTAGGCTTCTCCCTCTTACCGATTGCTCTTGCTGTCTACCACCCCACCGCTTGAGTTTCCTCTGTCCTTTCACTACTTGCATAGCCATTCATTGTTCAAGACCCAATTCAAAAGATATCCTTTCTGTGAAGACATTTCTTGTTAGAGTTGGTCATTGGCTGTCTCTTCTTTGCTCTTTTTTAAACGCATTCCACTATTTTAGTTCTTATCACATTCTTTAAAATTGTTGGGTGATTTGTCTGTGTCCCCCACCACAAAGAGAGCATCTTGAGAAAAGTGATTGTTTTGTCCTGTATTCTCCTCCAAGAGAAAGCACAGTTGACATGCATTAGGTTCTTAATAAATGTTCAGTGAATGAATGAATGAATTGAATTGAATTGAATAAATAGAAATTTAGAATTTAAGAAACTAAAGATTAAGAGGAGAGTTTTAATATTACAGAGGTGCTATACTAAACAATTTAATTGGATAATTTCACTCAAGCATACTAAATCTACCAGCTATTTACGAAATACTAGAAAATAATAAAATTCCTCTCAAAAAATGTAATGGAGGTCTGACTGGAAATAGCAAACAGAGCACAAGCATTTGTGACTGAATGAAATTTTGAGATAATAACAGGGCTTTCCGCTATTGTTTCTTGTTCCCTCTGACCTTCCCCAGCCCTGAATGGAGGACATTGCATCTTCACTGCTCCAGGGGAAAGGATGATACAGCAAAACACAGATAACAAGAGAGTCCATTCTTAGCTTTCAGGTTTCATTTCAAAAGCTAAGGACCTGGCAAAGTTTCAAAAGTTAGAATATGTACTCTAGAAGTCAGTTTCTCTTGCCCTAGATGCTAAAGTCTTCCCTAACTTGGGAGATGGAGATGAAGAAAGAGGGAACAAATAAGGGGTAACTATTAAAAAAAAAAAGATACACAATGTATGATTTTAAAAGCAGTGAAATATTATTCTATCCAGTGGAAAACAAATGGGAAGTTTTTTAAAAAGGAGAGAAAAAGAAACAAAACTAAATGTGATAAATAAAAAACTTAAAATAATATGGCTAAAGTAACTCCAAGTGGTAAACTATAGTAAACTGTTATTCTGACCAAAAGATGAAGACTTACAGATCCAGGAATATGTTGTTTATGGACTCAGTTTTTAAACAAAAGGATAAAGAAACAGTGAGAATAAATAAATGAAAACATATCAGGCATATGTGAATGAAAAGAAAACCAGGAGAGTAGTTTCAGTATCAGATTAAGTAGAATTTAATGAAGGAGTTCATACAGAAATGTTTGCCAGAAAAGTACTATGAAGATAGTATTATTTTTAAACACATATACACTAAGCAAATTGCTCCCAAACAAATAAAAAGAATAGCAGGAAAAACAATATATCAACATCTTTAGTTGGTGACTTTAACAAATGATTCTCAGGTACTATAAGTTTAAATAAACCAAATATCAAATTTATAAATTTCAATAACATAGTTTACAAGTTTAAGTATATATGTACATATATATCTCCAATAAGAAATATGCAAAATTTTTATGGAGCACCTGTGAAAGTAACAAAAATTGTACTGTCACACAAGAAACTCATAAATTACAAAGTACTGCTATCATAGAAATCCAAAGAAGTAATAAGGAAGGAGGTAATAAAGATAAATTTAGAGTCAAGAAAATAATGAGAAACAATAGAAAGGAATAGCAGATTTTCATATCTATTGATCATCTGTATTTTTTCTTAAAGGTGTGTTGCTCATATCTTTTCATATTTTCTTTTAACTAGGGTCAAATTATAGAATCTTCCTATATTAGGAATAGTAACATTTTGTGCAACATACATTGCATATATTTTT